TTTTTTGCATCTAATTTTTGTGTCCCCAACTGACTTTTCTGTGGGTCAGTGACCCCTGACTCAAAACACGTTCCCCGCCCCTCTCATAAATAAAGACAACGCTGACAAATTTTGTGTTTGACATATTTTATTTATTAATGAAGCCTGGCCAACAAGCCCCCAATTGGGGCCAACTCCCCATCTGGCCGCAGCATCATAACACTCCTGCACACCCCCTCCCCAACCCCAAACCTGAGCCTAAAATAAACTAGAATCCCTTGTCCTGAGCCTCACATTCCCAAACTCCTGCACTCCCACATCCCCAGTCTTCTGCCACAACACTCCTTCACCATCCACACACTGCAAATCTGTGTCCTGAGCCCATAATACTCCCAGCCTCCCTGCCCTGAGCCCCCCATGCACCCCAGCCCAAACTCCTGCACCCTCACAGCCACAAGCCTGCAGCTTGCTCAGCACCCCAACCATCCACCTGATCCCAACACTGTCCAGCCTGGAGCCCCCTTCCTAGGACAGCACACATATCGGCACCTGCTCAGCACCCCAAGCTTCCACCTGATCCCTACACTCTCCAACCTGGAGCCCCCTCCCTGAGCCAGCATCCTCTTCTCTATTTCCTTCTGCACCCAAATTCCCTCCCAGAGCTTGCACCTCTTACCCCTTTCCTAGTGCTTTTTTTGTGAGCCACAATAGTAGTGGAGACAGCGTGAAGAGCCACTGCAAAGTTGTTGAGCACCTTCCCCCTCCCCCCCAAAAAAAGAAGCCGTGCCCTGGGATGGATGTACCAGCACCTTTCTCCTCCTCCCCCCAACAACTTTGCCCCAGCTCTTAACTCTGTCTCCACTGCTATTGTGGCTCTTCGTCTGGAACAGGTTGTCCACCCCAGCTTAGATCATCCCTGCAAATGTCTATTCAACCTGTTCTTAAATATCTCCAATGATGGAGATTCCACAGCCTCCCTAGGCAGTTTGTTCCAGTGTTTAACCACCCCGACAGTAAGTTTTTCCTAATGTCTAAATTAAATGTTCCGTGTTGCAATTTAAGCCCATTGCCTCTTGTCCTATCGTCAGAGGCCAAAGAGAACAATTTTTTCCCTCCTCCTTGTAACACGCTTTTAGATATTTGAAAACCGGTATCATGTCCCCCCTCAGTCTTCTCTTTTCTAAACTAAACAAGCCCAGTTCTTTCAGTCTTCTCTCATAGGTCATGTTCTCTATACCTTTAATCATTTTTGTTGCTCTTCTCTGGACCTTCTCCAGTTTCTCCACATCTTTTTTTGAAATGTGGTACCCAGAACTGGACACAATACTCTAATTGGGGCCTAATCAGCACAGAGTAGAGCAGAAGAATGGCTGCTTGTGTCCTGCTCACAAGACTCCTATTAATGCATCCCAGAATCATGTTTGCTTTTTTTGCAGCAGTGTCACACTGTTGACTCATATTTAATTTGTTGTCCACTGTGACCCCCTAGATCCCTTTCTGCCGTACTCCTTCCTAGACAGTCGCTTCCCATTCTGTATGTGTGAAACTGATGTTTTCTTCCTAAGTGGAGTACTTTGTCCTTAGTAACTTAATTGTTTATTAAACCTCACATGGTTTTGTCATGATACAAACAGTAGATGGAGAAGTGGGGTTGGTGGATAAATCCAAGAGAAAACTTCTATCTGTGCGAGACTAGATATTTGTGGTGATAGGATTGCAGTCTCCCCTCCTTATACCCATTCAGTTCCTTTCTCTTCCCTTACTTCCAGGGGATGGTGGCTGTATCAGGAAGTTTGTCGGTACTTCTAGATTCTATTATCTGTGCCCTGGGCCCTTTAGCATGCCTGACCACACAACTACCTGAGCTGAATGGCTGCCCTAAGCAAGTTCTGGTGAGTTCTTTGTTGTTTTTATTTCAGTTCTAGACCTGTTAGTCTCCATAGAAAGAGAGTTGGGATCTGACTAGTGTGTCTTTGCGAGACAGGTGAATCTATACTGCTATGCAGATAGATAGATAAATAGTCCTAGTAGCGCACTGTTATTATGACAAGGCTTTTTGTGTGGGAATTCACTGACAAGTTCTACTGTAGGATACTGTGCACTAGATTTTCACTGAAGAATACAGAGCTGCTAATAGGTTAAGGTCCTTTGATCTAACCTTTATTCCATGTATTGCAATACTTGCAGCTCCTGTTTCTCAGTGACTGAAACAGTAAATATAAAGCAAATAAAATAACTGTGTGCATGCAAGACATCTTAATAAGCTTGTGTATGTGTGCACCTCAAAAGTTGTCAGTAAGTTTCTCCAGGCAAGGGAGGCATTTACTGCTATTGGGTTCACAGGTAAATATTCTCTTCTCCATTCCTAAACCACATTTCATAGAGCGTCCTTATTTGACAGCTAGCAATACCTGAGTAGGATGATTTAAATGTAAAGTAAGAACATGAAAGCAGCGAGAGGGACAGAAGTCACAGCACCAAGCAGGGGAGTGCACCCAGGGAGAGAAAAAGAGAGAGAGGGCAAAAAGAAGAATCGGAAGGAGAAAATATAACCAGTAAAATACTCTGGAAACACTAGATGAAAAGCAAATTTGACAAAGTAGAGAACAGAGAATAAATATTTGGGAAGAAAATGGGAAATAAGGCAAATGTTCCACGTAATATAAGTGGTCTTGTGGACACTGACTCATCACAGGAAGGATCTCTTCTCTAACAAAAATAAATAAATTAAAGGGTGTGGCAGTTTCTGCTGTAAATTCCCGTAGTGGCCATTGTCACATCCACTAGTATGTCAGCAGGTGCTGCCAGCCCATGCCATAGCTGTGTAACCACTGGACAATGCAGCCTGCACTTTAGTCTCTCCCTTTGCCAACAGCATTTTGAGCACTAACACCCCCTCTCCACATAGTTGATAGGGCTAAAAATTGGAATCTCTTTTTATTTTGGTTAAGAACTAAGGAGTTCTAGGCAGGTTGAGATACTAAAATTCCACTTCTGAAGACATGAGTTTGGACCTGGTCACAAGTGCAATAAGTTTGGTAGTTCCAGACTAATTTCCTATCAGACATTTGTCCTCATCAGTAAACGTGCTTTCCCCACAGTAAGTTAGATATAGCAAGACTGGTGTCTGAGGGGTAGCCATGTTAATCTGTAACTTGAAAAACTAGTAGTCCTGTGGCACCTTAGAGACTAACATTTTAATTAATTAATTTTGTGTGTGTGTGTGTACACACATACATACATACAGGGCTCGCCAAGCAGGGGGCCATGGGTGAGTAGATTACACTAATTGTCGAGCGTTGTGTGTGTGTCTATATATATAGAGAGAGAGACACGAGAGAGAGAGAGAGAGAGCTTGAGCACTGAAAAAAGGGACCCAGGATTGTGTCATATAGGGTACGTCTAGACTACCGCGTTTTGTCGACAAAACTTCCGTCGACAATTTGCGTCCAGACACATGGAGTTCTGTCGACAAAGCAAGCCGCTTTGTCGACAGAACTCCGTAGTCTGGACGCAGTGTTACAGGCAATAACACCTTCTGTCGACAGAGTTCTGTCGACAGAAAGTGTTATGCCTCATAAAATGAGGTATACCAGCGTCGACAAAACCGCGGAATTCTGTCGACGTTATGTCGACAGAACTCCGCGGTAGTGTAGACGCTGGTATTGTTTTGTCGACAAAAGTCCACTTTTGTCGACAAAACTAGGTAGTCTAGACACACCCATAGGGTGGTGTTTCTCTTCAGCCATTAGGTGGCACTGCTAAATTATGGAACTGATCAAGAGCCTGCCAAGATTCCAGTTTCTTTTTCTTCAAGCATTAACAGGATTGTGTATTGAAGACAGTGTGACCTGAAATTTATCAGCCAAAATTTCTTGCACTAAACTAAAACATTTTGCAAATGTGTTAAATTATTCATTTAAAAAAATCAAAAGGCAGCAAAATGTTTCATTTTCACATTTTCAAAATTAAATGCTTTAATTGTTTCAGTTTGAAAGTACTTTTTTCCCAATATTCTTCAATTTTATGTTTTAAAAAATCTATTTAAAATGGTTGACATTGAAAAAGGTTCTGAAAAGGGCAACAAAAATGATTAGGGGTTTGGAATGAGTCCCACATGAAGAGAAGTTAAAAAGACCAGGGCTTTTCAGCTTAAAAAAAGAGGAGACTTAAGGAGGAATATGAGAGAGGTCTATAAAATCATGACTAGTGTGGAAAAAGTGAATAAGGAAAAGTTATTTTCTTGTTCCCATAACATAAGAACTAGGAGTCACCAAATGAAATTAATAGGTTTAAAACAAACAAAACAAAGTTTTTCTTCATACAGTGCACGGTCGGCCTGTGGCACTCCTTGCCAGAGGAGGTTGTGAAGACCAGGACTTGAACAGGGTTCAAGAAAGAACTAGATAAATTCATGGAGGTTAGGTCCATCAATGGCAATTAGCCAGGATGAGTAGGAATGGTGTCCCTAGTCTCTTTCAGAGGCTGGGAATGGGTGACGGGAGAGTGATTTCTTGAAGATTCCCTGTTCTGTCCATTCCCTCAGGGGTATCTGGCATTGGCCACTGTTGGCAGACCGGATTTACTGGGCTAGATGGACCTTTGGTCTGACCCAGTATGGCCATTCTTATGTTCTTCTTATGAAATAGGAATGTTAAATATTGGTTAATTGAATAGTCGATTAACCTTATGAATTCTCATTGGTTACTCAATTATTCTATAGTCCCCCGGGGTGGGGCTGGCAGCCAGTGTGCTCCGGTCCCTCTCCTGAGGAGCCCCCTGCCACTCTGCTCTGCTGCCTCTGAATCAGAGGCAACACTGTAGGCTCCAGGTTTGAGCTGGTCTGCAAAAGGAGCCAGTTTAAAAACTGGCTCCCCTCACAGACTAGCTGCCTGTCACCCTATGTTGTTCCCTCTGATACAGAGGCAACAGTGTGGGATGGCAGCAGCCCCTGTCCGGGGAGTGGTCTGAGATCCCGGACCTGGTGTGAGATGGAACTGAGCCAGGCTGCCTGCCTGCCTGACTCCTAATACACTTTAAATGCAGAGCCGCAGTGGTGGTAGGTCCCGAATCCGGTGCAAGGCAGGACTGAGCCGGGATGCATGTAGTCTATAGCATTAACTGATGAGCTTTTTCTTATCAGTTAATCGACTGTACTATTACATCCCTATTATTAAATGAAACATTTTTTTTGATTGAATGAACTGTTTTGTTTGACTGCAAAAAAAAATTTTTTCGGTTTGCTGAAAATTCTGAAAGTCTGTTTTGGATCCATCCCAAAGCAATTTCTTGTCGATTTTTGTTTTTCATGGAATTGCCAGAGAACTGAAAAATCTGTTATTTGCACAGATCTAGTCTGAGGCTTCCTTTGGGTAGCCAGCCATACCTCTGGGATTAGTGGTGTGCTGCAGTCATAGACACTACAGATAGAGTTGCTGCAACATGTTTGCTGAGATTCTGGGGACCACAGCAATGTCCTTTAAGCTGCCCAGCAGCATTTGCAGAGGAAATCCAGGAGCCCAGACACATTTTTCCCTCCCACCTTACTTCTGAAATTTTTTTCATTTTTCATCCTTTTACATTAAAAGTTATAGAGTTTCTCATGAGATTGTGTGGGCAGGGTGTTTTCCTGGATTCCCCTATTATTTCCATCACCCTGGATTGGGTCCTTCCTTGCTGATCTTCTGTCTGGTGGATATGGGCTCGTTTTGGTTTGTTTCCTAATTCATCTATGCTGCTCCTAGCATTGGCCATAAGGGATGGGGAATCATTTAAAGCAATATGAGATTTTCCCTTGCATCCAGGTGCCCCCAGTGAGAGCACCATCTTTCAACTAGGTCTCCTTGTATTTCCAAAACTCCAAAGGATAGCTGACAGTACTGGTAACATCTAAAAATGGGGCTGATTCCATGCTGTAGAAAATTACATGACAAGATGGGGATCTTCACATCCCATGGCAGCTACACTAAAGCATTGTTTCTGTAGGATTTGGGATCGTAACCCGTTCTCTTTAAAAATATTAAATGTTCTCTTTCCAGTCAAACACACTAGACAACATCGCCTACATCATGCCTGGACTCTGACAGGAAAGGATACTCGTATGTACCCTGCTTCCATGTTACAGACTTCTGTACATAGGCACTATACTGGCACTCTCCAAGGGCTCCATGTGTAGGGTTTTAAACTTTTCTATCTGTATAGTATATACATAGGATTGTAACTATTTTACTTTTATTAATTTTATGAAAAGTTGTGATGTGTAAGCTGAGAGAATCCTTTCCTGTTGGTGGGAGAGACCTGCTCAACATATTCTCCAGTCTGAAGTTTTTGAGTAATTGGAGTTCATAACACTTTTGATTACATCAGCCTTAAATTCAAAAAAGCCTTTTTTGGGAATTGGCCTGAGCCCAGACTGTTTGTCAGTGGACAAGTACACATGCTTGTTTATTTTGGATCAAGCAATTATTCTGGACTTGTCACCAGCCCTGTTTCTAACTTCTGTTGAAATGTACTGCTTTGGGGGAAGACTGGTTGGCTGATGGAAGATAGAGGCTTTGACCTGTAGGTCATTTTTTACAGCCCCAAAGTCATTAGTGATTGAAATTTGTTTGTCTGCTGACTGGTTGGTAACTTGTAATAAATAGTTCTGGAGATGGTGAAGAATCTGTACTCTTCTAGAGGACTTGCACCCACATCATCATTAACACTAGCTGTCAGCCTCAGAAGAGAGCCAAAGATTGAATGGACTAAGGGGAACAAGCCACCCTCTAATTCCTCCAGATCAAGGCTGTGCCATCCTGATGGGGAAGAGAGGGAAATAGGTGGAAGAAACTTGCACTGCCTCTGCCCATCTGTACATGTTTTGTATGGAGAGGACTTTGTTTCTATGAATGTTGATCCCATCGTCCTGTTCACCAGCAGTGTTAAGAAGGAGCTATGGAATCCTCCTGGTGCTGCTGTATTATCTTGAAACAATGCTTAATGTTAAAGGTTGAAGAGGTTCTTTCTGAGCTGAACATGGACTGAGTGGACAAATCCCATGAAAGCTACAGGAAAGCATTTGATTCTCACGTAGAGGTGTGTGCGTGGTATATTTAAGTTTTACCAATATCTGTAACAGAGTTTAATTTATCATGTATATTTCTGTATATATGTGTGTGTGGATGTGTATATACATATATATTTATATATATATAATTTAAAAGCAAAAAAGCCTTCCCTCTACAAATTGCGTGTGGAAAATATGAATCAGCTCATCCCCCACCTTGCCAATGGTAACTGTTCCAGTTGTTGCAGGCATAGACTTTGCAAGAGGGACTAGTGACAACAGGTTAAATTCTCGAAAAGAATTTAACCCAGGGATGTTGGGTGAAAGCTGAACTAGAGACCCATTTATTTTGGCTCCAGCCTCCTCTTCCCTTTTAACTTAGGGGTTTTAAGATAGCAGAAGGACAGCACTTCTGCTTCTGTTTTGAATTCTGGATTCTCTATTTTCAGTGGCAGCTGGAAATGAGCATTACCACTTTATGGCTGAGCTCTAAATCTTTTGTGGTTAAGCAGATCCTCGGGTGTGAAGAGGGAAGCTTTCACCCAATCCTCTCTACTATGTATTTCCCCAGCTGCACATACATGGTAGATGCTGTTTTTGCATTGCTTCGTCTCGTAATTCAATGCTATTTTATTGGTTAGTCAACAGGGCTGGGTTGGTGGATGAAACAAGAGGCTCTTATAGAGCATATAGAAGATCTGGGCCCAGGCCTCAGACTTAGGCATACACATCTCAAAAATATGTGACTATATATAATCCTAAGCAGCATTTGAGGGAGGCAGGGTGGACAGAAGGATCTTGGTGGGCCCTTTGGACCCTCACATGTCTTGAAAATGGCATAAAACACCTGACTGTTTCTCACTCTCCACAGTGGACAGTACTGTAGTGAATGATAGATATTCAGATCTCTATCTAAGAAACAGAAGGGGATCAATCAGCTATTATTTTTGATCTGTATAACAAACTCTTGAAGAGTTTTAAAAAAACAACCACACACATAAACCCTAATGTATTGTATTTTTATTTAAAATTTATAAACATTTGTATAATCTGTATCTTGTGGTATTTGGTACTAGAAGGAAAACTTTGGACCGAGACCTAGCAGTTTTTATATTTTTGTTATTTTTCTTGCCATTTGGTCCAGATTGCATTACAGTTGTATAAAGAAACCTTTTTGTACTGTACTTACATATAATATTTTTTAACATTTGGAGTATGTGTCATTATTATTTATAGCATGCTCTGTATCTTCTCCCCAATGCTAGTTATTAGTGTTCAGTATTACTAAACAGCACATCTGTTCTTCTAGCTTCTCCTGTTCAGGCAGTATATTCCAACACCAGTATATTCTAATATCACAGTCTGCTTGATACATCTCTTGAAAATTACTGATAATTATTTAGAGGCCTATTCCATATTTCTTAGCAGCATCAGTGAGAGACATGCCTGAGAGCTGTCATCTAGCATTGCAAATGTCCCAATATTGAGCCATATTTCTGCCCCTGGGATCCTCCCTGCAACTGGATTTGTGTTGCAAGCAAAATAGTACTGGTGGTTCAGGATCAGTATGGTAAAACTGCCTGTTACAGAAAAAACAGGAATAGTACATATTGTCATAGTCTTTAAAAATTCTGTTTTCAGTTGAGAAACTCATGGGTCAGTTTCAGCCTCAAAACTTGTGATAGTTTGTCAACCTGTCAACCCTTGATATTGCAGAATATGACACTTCACTAACCCTCCCAAATTGTATTTTATATTTCAACACAAGTTGACAAGAGAGAAATTTTAAAATACTTAACCACCTACCAAAACACATTTCACGATTCCACGAAAACCACTGCCTTATGTTCTACTTTGAGAGCTATTTAACATATATAGGCAGAAACATACATGCTGCAGGTGGTTGTCCTTTCCTCCTACTGTCACATAAGATGTTAGTTTATCATTTTTTACATGATTAACTGATAAGCCTGCATTTACCGGTTACTCCAAATGACTACATGCACAACCCCAGTTTGCTGCTCTGTATCAGAGGTAATGGGAGGAGAGGTGGGAACTGGTGCTGGTTCCCTCAGAGCTGCCTCCCACAGAGGCAGCACCAGCACTGGGGGAAGTGCTTATTCATCCTGACAGGAAGTTTTTCCTAATGTCCATCCTAAACCTTGCTGCAATTTAAGCTTCTTGTCCTATAATCAAAGGTTAAGGAGAATAATTTTTCTCCCTTCTTGTAATACCCTTTTAGATACTTGAAAACGGCTATCATGTCCCCGCTTTGTCTTCCCTTTTCTATACTGAATAAACCTAATTATTTGTCTTTTACTGGATCTTGAATTATTTGGGGGCATTGTAATGTGATGAGGTGACCCTGGGTTCATTATTGCCCCATATTATACCTTCACCAGGAAAATGAAAGCCTTTAGACCCAGTCTAAAACAGGACTACGTAGCACTTTATAGACTAACAAGATGCTTTATTAGATCAAATCTGAGGAAGTGGGACTGGCCCACAAAAGCTCATCACCTAATAAACCATCTTGTTAGTCTTTAAAGTGCTACATAGTCCTGTTTTTTGTTTCACCTGCAGCAGACTAGCAGGGCTACATCTCTATTACTAGTCTAAAACAGGTGAGAGGAAGAATATCCCTTGTGTAGGAGAGTTCTGCTGTGCTCTAATCCACATGTAGCATGGAGGTGGGGTCAGATGATGCCTAATCTACTCCTTGAGGTGGGGGAGAACAGGGCCATGAGGTCTTTGTGGGTGAGGGAAAAGGGGGGGATGGAGGGTCACGTGTAGGAGCAGATAAAACTCAGGTAGGAGCGGCCAGGTCGATGGGGGGGGGGGGGGGGGTAGGTAGGGGACGAGGAGTAAAGAGCTTATTTCACAGTCCCCTGGTAAGCCTGTAGCATATTTGCCTCTGCAGTGACGACATAGTGTGAGGTCACGAGCCTAGCTTTGTGACGTCACAGTGTCCGCTTGTGCTACGGGCCCGCCCCTCCCTCCGCGCCTCCCGCAGACCGGCGCTCTCCGCCGGGCACGCCCTGGAAGGACAGAACGCCGCCTGCTTTCGTCACGCGTAGGCGGGGCGGCCAGGCACACCCCGTCCCGAGCCCGAGGGGGGGGTCACGTGACGGGCGCCCGTGTCAGCTGATACCGGGCCGTGCGGCGGCGGCGATGGACTTTCTCCTGGGCAACCCCTTCAGCTCCCCTGTGGGGCAGCGCATCGGTGAGTCCCTCTGCCCCCTTCGCCCCCTCCCCCCGCCAAGTCAGCCCCCTCCTCTGGGGAGCAGCAGCGACAGCAGCTGGGTAGGCGCGCGCGGCTGGGCGGGTCCCACAGCCTCCACGCAGGATTGACACAGTTCCGGCCAATAGAGAGGCGAGACTGATTTGACTGACGAGCGCCGGCGGCCAATGGGGGCAGGCGGGAAGGCGGGCCACGGGGGGGCCATGGGGCCAGCCAATCCCCGTGCACGGGGGTCTCGGAAGTTTTCTTATTTAAAGGGGCCCGGTGGCCAGAGCCGAGCCCTGTGCGAGGCGGCGGGGGCTGCGGCTGGGTTGAGGCCTCCCCCTGACCCTGGCGACCCTACAATAACAACCCGGACTAGGGTTGCCAGCTCCCCCGGAGCGCCCGAGAGTCTGCAGCAGCTGAAGCCTAGTACTGTGCAGTCACAGATGTTACTTGTCATGTGATGGAACCTCCAGGAATATGTCCAACTACAATGGGCACCCTAGCAGGGACTACAGGCAACTGAGTGTTGCCTGTGCTCCCACGTCAAGTAGAGGTGGCTGTAGCAGCAGCAGAAGGGTTCTTGGGGAACAGCCTGTGGGTGTCAGTTGTAGGGAGGAGAGCAGGTACCAGGGGAACTGTAATCTGCTCCCTGCCCTTGGAGCCACCCATCCCCATCAGTGCAATGACCTGGGTGGTGTCCCTGCTAGTTTGGAGGGGAAGAACACGTACTTATTCTGGCTTCATAGTTAGCTCTTCAGGGCAAGGGTTGTACATGCTTCGCTAAGTTTATGACACTAATAACCACATGTACCTGGCCTCACTGTTCAGGCTAATTCTTACTGAGCTCCTTGCACCCTCCATCTCCTTGTGGAGTTAGTCTTCTCCCTCCCTCTCTCCCCGGCCCCAAGATCCGTGATCAGCATTGTTAGAAATCCATGGAAAGCTTTGGCAAAAATCTGGAATTTTTAACAGGGAGGTTTTGTTTGCATTTTCTAATCTGTTTAACTGAACTCTTTTAATTAGGGCATCTTCCTCATCTGAAGAATGGGCTTATTCAGTGTAAACATGTTGGCTACGTCTAGACTGGAATGATTTTCCGCAAATGCTTTTAACAGAAAAACTTTTCTGTTAAAAGCATTTGCGGAAAATCATTCCAGTCTAGACGTAGCCAACATGTTTACACTGAATAAGCCCATTCTTCAGATGAGGAAGATGCCCTAATTAAAAGAGTTCAGTTAAACAGATTAGAAAATGCAAACAAAACCTCCCTGTTAAAAATTCCAGATTTTTGCCAAAGCTTTCCATGGATTTGGGCTTTTTTGCGCAAAACAATACCGCGTTGTCTACACTGGCTCTCTTGCGCAAAAGCATTTGCGCAAGAGGGCTTTTGCCCGAACGGGAGCAGCATAGCATTTCCGCAAGAACACTGACAATCTTACATGAGATCATCAGTGTTCTTGTGGAAATTCAAGCGGCCAGTGTAGACAGCTGGCAAGTTTTTCCGCAAAAGCAGCTGCTTTTGTGGAAAATCTTTCCAGTCTAGACACAGCCGTTATGTTTCAGCAATATATTGATTTCCACTAATTGAATTAATTATTAGCCAGAGTTTTTGAAAGATTGGGGCCTTTTCTATAGCACCATGGTTTTACCCCAGTGCTTTATGAATAGATGAATTATTCCCTGCCCTATCAAGTTTTTAGGAAGGCAAGATATCAAAGGCATAAATGCATCTAAGAACTTCCAGATAAATAGGATCTGATCCAGTATAAGACCTTGCAAATCTAGAAAGAACAGCATTCTTCTTAGTCTTTTGGTTGAGTTTAACTAAAGAAAGGGAGGAAACTAATATACAATAAACTAAAACAACAAGAAATTGGAAAATTGAGAGAAAGTACAAAGAAGGACTGGAGAAACAAAGCTGGAAGGGAAAAATACGTTTTTAAAAGTATTTAACAAAGTTTTAATGTAGAATGATTTTTATAAAGACTTTATCTGCTTGTATGGTGTAATATTTTTTACTTTTTCAGGGAAACCTTGTATCTCTGGGCGGGGGAGTAAGTCTGTCCTTGGTTTCTGGTCCTTTGCTTGTTTACCTATCAGTTCCACAATGTTGCGTCTCAGACTGTAATCTTCTGCAGACTTTCTTTGACAGCCTGACGAAGTCACTCACTAATTGAAACTGTGATATTAATGACAGACTATTTAAGCACAAATTCAACTCAAGAATCTCTGGGGCTGCCACCACCGAAGTCTCTATTATGTCAGAGACCTACATTCTTCTCACCTTGGGGCCTTTTAATTCATTCCACCCTAATTATCCCTTGCTCTCACACACAGCTGGGACTACAGGTTGTCATTGGAGAAGAGGGTGCGGGAGTTTGCTTAGCTGAAGAGAAGAGGCAAAACCCTTCTGAAAACCCTTCTCTATGACCCCCATCAAAATTGTCCAATGGGTTTCCCCCTGATATTTTATTTTATTTGAATTCTTATAGTGCACTCAGCAGTGTGGTAGCTGAATGTCTTCCAGTTGTGTATTGAACAATGTGACTAATATCTGTCACATGCACAGACTTCTCTTCCTGAAGAGAGGATGAGAGAACAAGCAATGGAGTGACTTTACACATGCACACACCCATGTTGCTAGCTAATGTCGAGCACTAAAATAGGGTGCCTTGATTTTTTTTCATCTTGAAAAGCTGGCCCCATGTTTATGTGTGGTGTCATTCATTCCAAAAAGCTCAAAGCATTATGCAAACTATCTAAATAGAACAGTGTCAAAGTGTGTCATGCTCTGGAGTAGGGGCCAGCAGCCTGGTCCATGGTATGTGGTACAATGTGGGGGGGGTGATTGTTCCTACTATGGTGGAAAGTACCATGTGATCTGTAACAGACAGTAACCGCACATGTTGTCATTTATTATCTGGAGAACGTTCTTCTGGATCCCCCTAGAACAAGTGTCCCTTGATTCCTGAAGTGAGTGGATTCTGCATGTTACATTTAGTCAGGTTTGACTTGCCCTCCCTTTGCTGCTGTTGTTTGGGATGGCAACTAGGGATGTAATAGTGTAGTCGATTAAACTATTAACCGATAAGCAAAGGCATATTGGTTAATGCCATCCAGTGCTTTTTTTGTTAAAAAAAAATGATGCTGGTACTAGGGTTGCCAGATGGTTTTGTTGAGCAAAAAAAAAAAACCCGCCCTTTAATTGCTGCATGTCCTGAGTGGGCTTCCATCCAGCGCAGCACAAGTGCTCCCAGGGCCGGCAGGGGGCTGTGCTGGAGGAAAGTGGTGAGTGCTCACAAAAAAAGCACTGATGCTCTCAATTACACACATTTCCCTTTCTTCCCCTACCCCCACCAGTAAATTTTTAGACAGCTAGCCGGCAGCCTGGTTCAATCCCTGCTGGTGCCAGGTCCAGGAGCTACCCCCGCTGCAGCTCTGCAGTGCATATCTTTTAGGAGCTGGATGAATAGGCCGCCCAGCTCCTAAAATACTTTTATTGCAGAGTCACAGCAGGATAGCTCCTGGAACCTGACGTAAGCCTGCCTGGCTTCTAAAAGATTTTTACTGCACAGCCACAGTGAACATAAGAATGGCCATACTGAGTCAGACCAAAGGTCCATCTAGCCCAGTATCCTGTCTGCCGACAGTGGCCAATACCAGATGCCCCAGAAGGAGGGATCACAACAGGTAATCTTCATGTGATCCTCCCCTGTCACCCACCTCCAGAGAAACAGAGGCTAGGGATACCATTCCTACCCATCCTGGCTAATAGCCATTGATGGACCTAACCTCCATGAATCTATCTAGCTCTTTTTTGAACCCTGATGAAGTTCTAGCCTTCACCACATCCTCTGGCAAGGAGTTGCACATGCTGACTATGCACTGAGTGAAGAAAAAAGTCCTTTTGTTTGTTTTAACCCTGCTGCCTATTAATTTCATTTGGTACTCGCCCAGCTTCCACTCCGTCATGCACAGATCCCACAGTGCCCGCTGTGGCCCAGCAAAATCTTTAATCCAACATACCCTGTTTTCTGGGTTTGCCGCTCTTGGGGTAGCTCTCAGGATCCAGCATGAGCCAGGATGCCTGCCCACCCGACTCCTAAAAGACTTTAACAGCAGAGCCGCAGTGAGGGTAACTCCCAGGACCCAGCACAAGCCGGGACTGAGTGCTTGCCGTGCTAACCCTTGCTGATTGACTGTGTAATCAATAACATTTTTGTTGACTACGTGGTTAATGAATTATACGCTTCTTAACATCCCTAATGGCAACCAGTTTATAAGACACTTCCCCTGGGATTCTGTTTCTATTATACCTGGGCGTGGGGGAGGAGGGTTCCAAGCAACAAGCCAACAGCAAAAGGAGGAGGCCCGAGTATCTAGGGCTGTTGGTGTACAGAGGGGGACATGGGAAAGGAGAGCCTCGTGTCTGCAGTACTTGAGATGTGGCGGGGAGAAAAGCCCCAGATGGAAAGGGGTTAGGAAAGCTCAAAGGGGTGAGAATGTTATAACCAGTGCTGAAGAGGCCGGTGAGGAGGGGGTCATGGTTTTACAACGGTGGGGAAATACCTGGCAGCTGTAAATAGAAACCCAGCACTGCCTCACAATGCCCCTGTGTCCTGAGTAAACACTATTATCCCTACTGTACAGACAAGTAAACCTGAGACCCAAGAGAGCAACAGAACAATGGCTAAGCTGAGGCTTGAGCCCATGAATCCTGAGCACTAGGCCAGGATAGTGCTGCTATTTCAGGCTGGTGGCAGACTCAGAAGGATAATAGTGCAACAGCTTAAATGACTAGGGGAACAAAAGTAACTCTGTTTTGTAAAGCCTGTAAAACACTTTACAATGAAAGACCCTGAATGCAATAATAAAAATATTTGTGTGGTGCCTTCCGTGTGAGGATTTCTGTACTTTACAGATATTGATGTTTTAAGTTCCCTGTGAGGTAGGAAAGTAATATATCCCCCTTATTTTTCATTTTGGGGGAACTGAGC